TGATACAGTTCATATTAATAATACATCGTACAATGTGACCTTACTTAATAGGAGATAGAAGAATGATAACACTACTTCTAGAGGGGCATTATAACAGGTATTAAGGTAAGACACAGGTGCTGAGTCGCAGATGTGTGAGATTGACTGTCAGAGAGGCAGCTTTGCAGCATTTGACCAAGAAGGAACGAAAAGTTCCCCATCAGAGATCTATGGACTGAGCTGGAATAAAGTGAGCAGAACTACACAGTAGAAATAAATGGGTCAAGGCACCAAAACAAGGTACTGGACATCTATGTAATGTTTACTCTGAACACACATTTACCCCATTTGTTCCCCAGTAACTTGACATACAGCAGTTACGGCAACATGAAAGGGACATTTCATGCATGTAGATATGCTGTAGATAGAGCTGCTGTATCAACAAATCAACATAAAGGCAGGTACTGGATGTTACAGCAAAATCTACACTGATCTGAAAAGAAGCAACATAAAAATATGTTTTGCTTCCAGTCTGAAAAGTATAAAACATTTTGGAGTAGGTTCATACAGGTCATTTCTGGATAGTATCTGGATAGTTTCATACTATATATACAAAAAAAGAAACAACAACACTGCTAACCCTAACCCTAGTTGACCGCAAATATGTCTTTATGAGCCTGAGACGTCAGGCCTAAATAACATCATAGTTAGAGAAATAACGTTCTGCATCCTGATTTTTATCATCTGTAAATCAGCATTGCAGCTATGCTAGCAACATTGTGCTTTCATTATGATTTCATTTCTCGATAGATAGTTAATCAGTTTTTCCCTGTTTCATCCCGTGTCTCCTCTCCCCATCACCCCTGGCTCCCTCCATAATTTATAAGCCTCGCCACCCCTACCCCCAACTGGGGTGGCAGCAGGGGTGGCAAAGCTGTCATTTAGGGGGGCATTTGCCACCCTATGCCACCCAGTAGATCCGCCTATGCATAGAAGCTAAGAGACAAATGGAGGTCAGTAGGATGTGATATTCAGGAAACCAATCAGCGAAGAGCAGATTTTTCTGACATTGTAAACTTCATTGAACGTCAGGTAACGATTGTTACTGACTCTGTATTTGGCGACATACAGGACACCGTAAAGATCATGCAAAGAGACGGTAGCAAAGATAACTACCAATGCTGAACACCAGAACAAAAAGTAGTTTTGCCACTACAGTAGCAGCGATTGATGGAAGGAGTCAAGTAAAAAAAAAAAAAAAAAGAGTCCAAACTGGCAAAAAGTCCTGCCATTACTGCCAGACTGAACATGCAGTGGAGTTTGTTCTCTATTGGAAAAAAGACAGAAAGAGAAAATCATGGAGTCTGCTTTGGTAGTCTGTGCATCGGGGACATAAGACTGCAAGAGGAGACTGACATGTAAAACATGTGGAGCTAAACACCCTAGCATGCTTCAAATTCACCCAAGGAATGAGGGTCAAGTTGAAGGTCATGAAGGTGTGCCAAAGAAAGACGCAGCAGTGGGTGGTTCTCTGGTACCAGTGCATAGTACTGGTCTTACTGGGGCCGGTGACCTTGACTGAAAACTCTCCAGTGAGCCAGTCAAGGTCAAACCTAAAAAGGGCCAAAAAATGTGGAAACATGCATTTTTGGACCAAGGCAGGTCTGGTTCGTTTTATACATCAAGTCTGATGAACAAGTTTCTGGAAAAGGAAGAAGAAGATTAGATTGGTGCTTGATTCATCATTCCAAGGTTCACCACTCAATGCAGAGCTGCTACAAGCACCGGATCCTACCAACTCATTGATCGGCATCATAACCAGATTCAGGAAAGAACCTTTGGTGTTGATAGCAGATACTGAGGCTATGTACCACCAGCTGCATGTTCCAGCTGACGAATGTGACATGCTAAGGTTTCTCTGGTGGCCAAGTGGGGATGTCTGTCAACCCATGGAGGACTACAGGATAAATCTACATCTTTTTGGGACAACTTCTTCACCAAGATGTGTGAATGTTGCTCTGCGAAAAGGTGCAGAGGATAACAGTAACTCCTTCAGCCAGCAGGTGGTGGATACCATGAAGCACAGCTTCTATGTGGACGACTGTCCTGTTTCAGTTCGCTCTGAATCTGAGGCTATCGCACTCTATCAGGGCAGAGGATATAAGGGAGAAAACAACAGGAGCCACAACAGGGGCCCCAACAGGGGCCCCAACAGGAGCCACAACAGGGGCCCCAACAGGAGCCCCAACAGGGGCCACAACAGGAGCCACAACAGGAGCCACAACAGGGGCCACAACAGGAGCCACAACAGGAGCCACAACAGGGGCCACAACAGGGGCCACAACAGGGGATATAACAGGGGCCACAACAGGGCCCACAACAGGAGCCACAACAGGGGCCACAACAGGGCCCACAACAGGAGCCACAACAGGAGCCACAACAGGGGCCACAACAGGGGCCACAACAGGAGCCACAACAGGAGCCACAACAGGGGCCACAACATGAGCCACAACAGGGGCCACAACAGGAGCCACAACAGGGGCCACAACAGGAGCCACAACAGGGGATATAACAGGGGCCACAACAGGGCCCACAACAGGAGCCACAACAGGGGCACAGCAGGCACCATAACAGGGGGCCCCAACAGGAGCCATAACAGGGGGCATAACGGGGGGCACAGCAGGGGCCATAACAGGAGCCATAACAGGGGGCCCCAACAGGAGCCACAACAGGGGGCACAGCAGGGGCTATAACAGGGGCCATAACAGGGGGCCCCAACAGGGGCCACAGCAGGGGGCATAACGGGGGCCCCAACAGGAGCCACAACAGGGGGCATAACGGGGGCCCCAACAGGAGCCACAGCAGGGGGCATAACGGG